GCGTCAACCTGGACCTGCGCAGACTCCTCGCCCACCATGTCCACGACAGTGCTCGGAGCACTGAGACGTACAGCCGCAACGTGCTCATCCCCGCAGCGCGGGCTCTGGAGGAGGTTCTCATTGCCGTCAGAGATGGCGACTTCCTTCCCGACCAGCCACTCGGGAAACAGTTCGCGCTGCCTAGCAGTCAGCTTAACCTGAGGCGAGAGAACCTTAGCAAGGTTTCTCACAGGAAAACCTCCTCTGGCTCAGCACCCCCAGTGGGGGTGGAAGCCCTGAAGGTTTCGCAACAACAAGAGCTCAGCGACACAGAAGACAGTGCCAGTGACACTGATAGAGAAGACGAGTTCGTCGCCGAGCCCGAGGTAGAGGAGCACCCTCGCCTCAGAAGGGAGGTGCAGTGCACTCTCCCAGACTGGGCCTTTTCGTGGTGTCATCTTGCCAGTGGCAAGCTGCACGCGAGCCGCGGCGAGAACGCCAAGAGGCTTCTCTGCGGTCGTTGCTTGAATGAAAAGTATACGAGTTGCGAAGTTCGCGAACTCGCACCAGGCCGACCGCACTGCAAGACTTGCTGGAGCAGCAAGTCTTTCGATGCAGAGTGAAAAAGAGAGCGAGTTCACGAGCCTGTCTGTCCTAGTAGGGTCCTGCAGTCTACACCGTGTTTGCGTCTCTCTCTCTTTTTCATCTTCGCTTGCCCTGCAGGACGATGGCGAACCTCGTCGACAGTGTCGCGGAATTCTCCAGCAGAGCTGGACAACTCCTAGGAGACGCCGAGTCGGCGAAGCTCCATGCGGCAGACATCCGCACTTTCGGCACGCTCGCGTACAGCGTCGCTGACCAACCCGACCGCATCAGCGATGCGAAGTTTGAAGAACTCCTCAAGAAGGTCTTCGGGGCGGCAGAGCCGACCTTGGGCACCAAGGCCGCAGTGCGGCGCCTGGCCTTCGAAAGCCTCACCTTCAGCATCCAGGATCTGAAGATGAGGGTGGAGGGTGACAGCGTCACCCCCAAGAGCCTGCCCCTGCACGAGCGCGAGGAGCGCCGCGCCGCGCAAGTCGCGCGCCTCCGGGGCGTCGTCATCGAAGGTGACTACGACCCCGCGCACAGCCTCGTGGACAAGGCCGCGCTCATGCTGCAGGACGGCATCGTTCGTTACATCCCACCGTCGCAGTGCGTCAGCCGGGATGCCGAGATCGCCTCAGTGAGGCGTGACAAGGACTTCCTCTCCCTAGAGTCTGGGGAGATCACAGTAAAGAAAAAGGAGCACAGCGTGCACGTGGAGATCGGCAATGAGCTAAAGCTCACGCAGGCGCTCACGCGCAGAGGTCTCGCGCTCGACAGAGTCGGCGTGTTGGATTTCACGATTCACGAGAGACTCGTGAGACAGTTCTTCTCCGTCCTGAACCGGCCAGCGCCGCCGGGGATGGAGCGCGGCAACAGTTGGCACGTAGTACGGGCCGATAAAGAACTGTGGACGCTGCTCGCGCGAGAGTGTCGCAAGGGTTGCAAACCGGACAAGGATGGTAAGAGGCCACTAGATTCTCTAGTAGAGAACATGTGGTCCGATCCGATTGTCACGCTGCACCTGCTCCCCTCGCCAGTGGCAGACAGGGGTCGCAAGGGCAAGGGCCGCAGCTTTACGCGCAGCGAAGAAGACCGCAGTCGTAGCACGACCGGCAAAGGCAAGAAAGGCGGCAAGAAAGGCCGCGGAAAGGGCAAGGGCAAACGGCACGAGAGCGCAGACCGCTCCAGGCCGCCGAGCATGCCCAAAGAGCTTCGCCACTTGAACAGCGTTTCAAAGTCGGGCAAGCGCCTCTGCTACGGTTTCAACCTGCAGTGCGGGTGCGACCTTGAGACCTCCGGATCCCCCAAGCAGTGCGACAGGGGGTTGCATCAGTGCATGAGCTGCGGCAGCACCGACCACGGAGCCGCAGATTGCCCCAAGAACGCAGGGGCCGCCTGACTAGGCACCCCTGCCCTGAGCGCGGCAGAGCCGCAACAGCCCTCGGCCACTGAGCCCGCAGCTCCTTGCCCAGCAGCGCTGGGCCTCCCTGCCACCGCGCCACGCGCAGGGCAGAGCCCTGACCCTCCCACCTCGGCACCGTCGCTGCACCCGCCTGCAACAAGTAAGCCAGGATGTGCCACAGCTGCGCCGTCGCCTGACGCAGGGTTCGCGGCAAACGCCGACCCCCCAGCGCTCCTGTTGTCTGAATGTTAAACATTCTGCCAGGAACAGTAACACAGCTAGTGCAGTACAGTTAATGTACAGGAACAGCCGTCACGCACACGCGACGTGCAGGCTCGAGACCCCAGGACACACCGTGCCCAGGAACAAAAGTGTCCGACAGTCTTTGTGGGTAGGAACCCTTAGTGAAGCCCGTTCTTTAACATGGTAGCGGAGCTGCCTCCAGGAACCTCCTTGGCAGCGATGATGCTACTCGTAGCCATAGGAACCATGATGCTCGGCGCCATGGCAGTTTGCCTCGTTGCCGGATGGAAGCAGATGCGCGCAAATGAGCAGATCACCAAGAAGACGGAGACAGTGCTCAACATGCCCACGCTCAGGATCGCAGTCCGTTCAGGAACAAAGTACCACCGCAGAGGTTGTGGACACCTTCGCAACCACAACGTGACAGCAGGAAACGCGCGAGACTTTGACGCTTGCGCCGATTGCTACCCCGACCGAGTGTTGGTGGAAGAGAGAGAGAAAAGGAACATGAAGTGCTACGGTTTGGCAGCATGTATGGTGCTGCTGGTTGGTTTCGCACTGGGAAGCCTCGCAACTTTGTGCGGGATGATCTTGGTCCCAGGAGCAAGAAGTATGGCGGTGAGACCGTGGCAGGCCCTTGGCAACAACGTGGAGACCAAGGAAGAACTTGCCCTTGGAGACGTCTTATCCTCCAAGGATGCGAGCCGTGGGAGAAAGGAACTCACTTACGTGGAGAGCGACGAGAGCGAGCTCATGGCAGTGTGGTCGAGCAGAAGGAAGCCCAATACGCACCGGAACCGCTACAGGAACTATGACGTGTACGGCGAGTACTACCAGCAAGGCTACAACGAGTGCAGCGTGAACCCCGACGGCACCAACGTGAACACGATCAGGAACACAAACGCGTACACGATTAAGGACTATGTGGAGATAGGAAAAGTCATGGTACCGTACGCTTTGTTGTGCGTGAACCAAGTGATGAACGAGCTCTACAGCGTCGTTAGCGTGACCGGCGAGTACTACACGGAAGAGAACAGGAACGGCAATCAGAACACAGAGAACCAGGAGAGTGAGAGCCTTGAGTCAGGCTACGCCCCTAGGTACCTAGTAAAACAACAGCGAGAAGTACTGAGGAAATTTGTACAGGAACATGTTCGCAGTTTCGTAGAAAAGCTAGCAACTGTAGGAAAGAAGTTTCACGACGTCGTGCATGTGATAGTTCAGGAAGTCATTTCCAACAGAGTTGTATTTCAAGGAATTCGCATAGCAGTGTTCTTAGGAACCCCAATGGGACTGATTACTTGGATCACCCTGTCGTACTATTCTAGTGTGTTTTTCGCAAGAGCAAGCAACCGCTCAAAGCACCAAAGGAAGACAAGAGGAGAAAGGAGAGCACAAGCAGTGAGCAGGAAGCAGTGCAAGTCGCTACTTTTAGCAGCACTAGTGTACAGCAACCTTGAAACAGCAAAAGGAATGGAGGATGCATTGAAGGCACTTGCCGAGATCAATGCACAGACCTTACAAGGAATACAAACACTAGCAGAGGAGATCAGGAACTCAGCAGCTTCAGGAAGTCAAAGAGAAGCAGGACTTACACAAGCATTCCAGGAAACCCTGACAGCAGTTCAGGAACAGCAGAAGACAGCGCAAACAGCGTTGGCAGACGCCCACACGAATGCAGCAACGACACTTGAGGAGATAGGAGCATCTCTGGAGAAAGCAGTAAAGGAACAAAGAAAGCCTGGAGAAGTGGAGTTGCACAAGCTGATTAAAAGCCCCGAAGCATTTTCCCCAGGAACATGGCAAGAAGAGAAGAGTGGATGGACAGAGTTCAGGAACAGGATGCGGATCTGGCTTGGAGCAGTGGATTCCAACATGGTGAAGATCATGGACATCGCCGAAAGGAACTTAAAAGATGATAAGCAAGTGAAGATGGCTGAGATGTCTGCAGAAGCAAAGGAAACAAGCAGACGCCTGTACAGTGTTCTTTGTTCATACACTAAAGGAAGGCCGTACCGAGTTGTAAAGCATGTAGCTGAGGAGAACGGTATGGAAGCTTACCGTATGCTACTCAAGGAATATCAACCAACGAATCGTGCAAGATCGTTGGAGTTGTTTCACAACATTCTCAACTACAAATTCGCTCACAACAAAGGAATTGCTGAGAATATCCTCGAATATGAGGAACACATCGAGAAGTACGAGAAGGCTACTGGAGAAAAGGTACAGGAGAATTTGAAAGTATCTACTCTTATTCAAGGTATGAAACCTGACGTGAAAAGGCACTTGTTGCTCAACATGGATGAGAAGACACAGTACAATACTCTTCGTCAGTACCTTGTGAACTATGAGTCAACCGAGCGTTGGACTAACTCTTTGGCAGCCCAGCAAGGAACACCTCACCGAACCACAACAGACTTGATCGACAAAGGTGATGACCATGGTGGTCTTGCAGCAATGGATATCAACCAAGCATGGTACAAAGGAAAGAAAGGCTATGGCAAAGGTTATGTTCACCATAAAGGCAAAGGTAAAGGAAAAGGCAAGAAAGGTGGAAAGGACTTGCTTTACTGGGCTTGCCCAGTTGAACTGTTGAAACCTTCGAATTTTGGGCGGCCGGGCGGGAAAAGATATTTTCAGTTTTGAGTTTTTCCTAGTTTCCGTTTTCAGCTCACTGTCTCTCAGTTTGTCTCAGATCCTTTCAGTTCTCAGTGAGAATCCGTCTTTCCGATATGTTTAGGCTCAGTTTTAGTTTTTGGTAGTGTGGGGCAAAGGCTCCATTCGGACGTAGATGTCATGGCCGGAGCTGCAAGGGCAGGAGCTTGCACTCCTTAAAGGGGCATTCGCGAACCCCAGGCAATTGCACGCAGCCTTTGATGGTCGCGAGGAGGCGGCTGAACTAATAGAGGTGTTCTTGCCAGGCATCAACAGAGATGGGAAATATCAGAGAGCCGACGTTCTTGTGGCATGGGCACAGGAAAATGAATCAGCAATCAAGCGGCAGCGAAGGGAGTCATTGCATGGTATGTGGGAAGTGCTACCACAGCAACGTGTGGTGCCGAAGCTGACGGACACATTTGATGAGCTGGCAAGGAGCAACCCACTTGTCCTGCTGCCGGCGCTGCAGCGGAAGAGGCGCTTGCTTAGAGAAAATACAGACGCTACACAGCGCGCAAAGGAGGAACAGCTGGCAAGGAAGAAGTATGCCTTACAATTGGCCGAGATACTTAAGGAAGCGAAGTTGCCACTGGTGCAACAGCTGGAGGGAGTGGACCGGCCTGAGGAAGTTTGGCCACGGATATTTGGAACCCGCAGGAGCAAAACGCTGCGAAACCGCTTGAAGGCTTGGCAACCCTTCAGGACGTGGCTGCAGTGCGTCCATGAGGTGCAATGGCCGACTAGCGTGCGGCAGCTGATTGATTATAGCAATGAGAGATTTCAAAGTGAGTGTGGCAAGACAGTGCTGAACAGTTTCCAGGCGTCGCTGGCTGTCTTGGAGCAGGTGGGAAAGGTCGCTGAGACACAGCGGCTGTCGAGCGATACAACTTGGCTGGCACACTTGAAGTCGTTGACTGCAGATTTGGTGGGTGAACAAGCGCCCGTACAGCAAGCACCAATGATGACGGTAGCAATGATCATTTCACTTGAGCTGCACATTGCGAGGGAGGATGAGCCTGAGTATATACGGGCAATGGCCTTCGTTGCACTGCTGGCTGTGTATGGTTCCATGAGAATGGACGACTTGCAAGGGATGCTGCCGGCTACCATGCAGCTTACTGCACAGGGCTTCAGAGCTACGCTGGGACGCACCAAGACGACGGGCGCAGACCGTCGCAACAAGGAGGTCTCGGTCTTCATACACAGGCAGGCAGGATTGTCCGGGTTTGATTGGCTGGGTGAGGGCTTTGCGCTTTGGAAGAAGTATACTCAGCCGAGAGACTTCCTTGTCATGATTGCCAGAGACGATTGGAAAGGGCCAACTAAGCACTTTGCTAAGAGCGAGGTAGTTGCAGGCTATGTGCGTGAGGTCTTCAAGAGGCTAGCAACGCCGAAGTTTGAGGATAGGGCCTATCGCCTCAACTTGCAGAGGTACCTCTTGGTGGAAGGGGCCCAAGGCTTCTTCACGGGGCATAGCCCACGCAATTGGCTTACTTCAGCAGCCGCGGTGTTGGGATGGTCTAAGGATCGGAGGGATTTCTTGGGTCGTTGGATGATCGGTGGTTCGGGTTCTGCCGACTACACGCGCACTGCAAAGGAGGTTGTGCATCGCATACAGATTGGAGTCTGCGAAGCAATTGTCACCGGCAAGGGTGGCGAGTATCAAGAGAGCGTAGCTCTCGAAGAGCTAAAAGCCTTTGTGGACGAACGTGGAGGTTCAGGTGCATTGGCAAGGCGGCGGCATGATCTACTTAGGACTGTGGAAGGCGTACGCTGCTTGGGCAGCAAGTGGCCTGCCATTGAACAGGACGATGCAGATGCCAGCGAAGAGGAGGAGGCACCGGAAGCGATGAACGTTGAGGGTAGTGCCACAAAGTACTTCATTAGCATCAGTCGTAAGACGGGCCATCGCAGGCTGCACTTGAATGGGCCGTGCCATGTTAAGCCACATCATTGCAATAGGGTCGAGTTTGTCGAGCGTGTCGCATTGGATCAGATCGACAGCATTTGTCGTGATTGCAAGCATCGTATGAGGGAAGATCAAGGTGCCGAGGACGATCAGGACACAAGTAGCGAGAGCGGGTCCACAAGTGACTCGAGCAGCGAAGAGGGGTGAGAGTACGTTCGAAGCTTGGCGACAAATTGTGTGTTGCGGTAGGAGTGTGCTGTGTTCGAGGTGCGGCATGTACATGGCTGTTTGCATGGGTAGGTGCTCGCTTGAGGGAGTTTGGCTAAGGCAGCTTCGCAGGACCGTCGGCATGTACGTGATTGTGAGTGATCCACGATTTTCAGTGTCAGTCGCGAGTGCATGCAATTCTACAATTACGGAGTTAGGAGCTGTGTGATTTTCAGTTGCCATGGGCTACCGCTGAGAGTGCGGTTTCAGTTGCACAGCACGGTGCTGTTTCAGATAGCATGGCGTTGCCTAGTGAGGCGGATCAGAGAGCAGAAGTGGCAAAGATGGATTCCGACTTGCAGTATGTGCTTCAGGAAGCCAGTGCGTCACTGGCCACGCAATATCAGGTTGCGCGGCTCCATCAGAGTCGAAGGCGATTCCAGGCGATCGCCGATAACCGCGAAGGTGCCCGGACAGCTGCGCGTGATTTCGGGATTAATCCTGATACACCGGCGGGCCGTGTTGAGGTGGCAGCTATAGTGGCTGCGTGGGAACTTGCCAAGGAGTATGCCAGTAAAGAAATCGAGCTACGTGCAGAGGCGAAAGTTCTAGGCCATAAGAGAATCTTGCAAGTGCAGGAACGCCAAGCTATGCTGAAGGCAGTGACGGATGCATACGGGAAGATGAATGAAAGCGAGACGCCAAGTGCAGAGTACTTGGCAACAAAGGCCGAGGAGTGCGAGAGCAATGAGCCTCTCGCAAGTTCGCTTGATCGCATCTCTTCAAAGAAGGATTCGCAGGTGGAGAGCCTCCAGACTAGCATTGATCCCACCGGGCATGTTCGGGTGACAAAGACGATGCAGAAGTTGGAAATGCCACATCACTCAGAGGGCTATAGACGCTTGATGAAGGTCGAGGCACATGCATGGCTCTGCATGAGTGCACGGTTTAAGGCAAAGGCTTGGTTGCAAGGGCTTCAGCTTGATGATTTCACTAAGTTTGTTGAGTACATCTTGGGGGATCGTGTTGGCAACTTGAAGTTGCCCACTGCTTCAGGGCAAGAGACGCAGTTCAACAGGCCTCCATGGAACATCGTCTTGAGTTATGAATATAAGTTGAGGGTTGAAGCTTTCAAGATGATCCTGGAGGGAACCGCCACCATGGCAGAGGCACTTCGGGCAGTGCGTGAGGATCCATCGCTGAAAGAGGCTTACTTTACAACACCTCTGGCATTGCACACAGCTGGTACGCCTACCAAGTTTCGGAAGGGCAACAGCAAAGGAAAGGATAAGCAGCAAGGGCAAGAGATTCCACCGCCGCCGGCGCCGCATCAGAACGGTCGTGGAGCAGGGAAAGGCAAAGGCAAGAAAGGCAAGGGCCAAGTTGTCTTGTCAAATGGGAAACAGCTTGCACTTGTGTCAGCGACTCCTGACGGCCGTCAGTTGTGTTATGCATACAACCACCAGGGCTGTACTGATCCGAAGTGCGCACGTGTGCATGCGTGTCGTGTTGCAGGGTGTTTCGGTGAGCACCCGGCCTCGCAGCACGAAGCCGCGACAGCGGGTAAGTGACAGAGTTGCGCTCAGCAGGGGGCGCATGGGCACCATCTGCCGTTGCTGTCAGGCCAACCTGTGGCATCAAGGGTGGTTCATGTCTTTGCAGATCCTGCTGAGCGCTTTGATTGGGCACCGCATCTCAGCAATAGCATGTCGCAGCCAGAATTCGTCGCTTTTGGATTTGATGCAAACAACCTGTTTTGTGGTGATGCTTGGGATCAGTTGTTTGAGCTTGTGAAACAACCGAAAACCGTGATCTTGATTTCGCCTCCTTATGATACTTTTAGTCGGGCGAGGCATAAGCAACCTGGGCCCCCGCCACTCCGCAGTGACAAGTGGCCCAGAGGTTTTCCATGGCTTAAGGATTCGTCTATGCAGAAGGTGACTTCTGCCAATCATTTTATCGACCAGTGTTTGAAAGCAACAGTTTTCGCGGCCGAGGCTGGCAATTTCTTCATGTGGGAAGCGCCGGAACACTTCGGCCGCACCGCCGATGGCATTGTGCCGAGCTCCATTTGGGTTTGGCCTGAATTACTTGACTGCATTCCGCGTTTTGCGGCCACTACCTTTGTGCATTACTTATGCGAGTTCGGGGCGGACTGGGCCAAACCAACACGTTACTTGAGCAATTTGCCTTTCTTCCGTCACTCCCCAAGGCCCTTGACAGGGTTGCCGGTGCTGGATGCGGATCACCGCTACGTTGGGCCGCTGCCCGCGTCGTGCCCACATGGGGGTCACGCGATTAGCACCGGCAAATCACCGACTACGCAACAGTGGAACTTGCCGCGGGCCCGCGGCTGGCCCCCTCAGTTGTGTCAATTCATAGTAGCAGCCATCGACTTCTCGCTGCAAGCAGATGGGGAATGCAAATCCTCTAAGTCGAAGGTTCCTGACAAGGCAATTAAGGTCCCCGATGTGCTGGGTGGGCACGCTAAGGTTCCTCCCGTGCCCGTCGTTTCAGGTTCTGACCCATCCTCGCCTTCAGGTTGCAGTGCCGCAGCTGCCCCTTCTGCCGCAGCTGCTCCTTCTTCCCAGTCAGGTTGTAGGTCCCCTAAGGCCACGGCGGTTCACCCTTCCCGTTCGGGTTTTAGTTCCTCTTCGCTTCCTTTGAAGTCCGCCTGCGATCCCGAGAGTGCCGCATCACAACTGCTGGCGGCTCCCGGTCCGCTAGAACGTCGCCGTGTGTTAGAGTTATTTGACATGCTTCCCCGCGAGGAGCCGCCCAGGGAATCGACTTCACCTGCACCGGGCAGGGCTTTCGCTACGGGCGCTTACTGTAAGGGTGGCTTAGTCGGTTTGAGGCATCATTCAACTGCGATGCCTATGTCGACGCGGGTTCTAACGAAGTACTTGCAGCAGGTTGCACCTGGCTTTCAAGCATCCGCTATCGCGATCTTCGATGATGTCAGGACGGGTGTCCACCGTGATGCTCGGAATGCACACTATCCGAACATGGTAGTGCCGTTATCCGACTTTGAAGGTGGCCAGATCTGGCTGGAACAGCAAGGAGGCGACGTTTGGGAGACAACGCCAGAAGGGCAGAGACCGGGTGTCCTCTTGGAGGTTTGTAAGGGTCCTGTAAGCTTCGATGCCTGGCGGTCGTACCACGCTACGCGGGCGTGGAAGGGCCGTCGGGTGGTGATGGTAGCATACATGACCGACAAGCTTGGCAATGTTGAGGCTTCCGACTTAGTTCACCTTAAGGCATTGGGCTTTGAGTTACCACTTGACTTGGACGCATCGAATGGGGAGACTTCCGAAGCTCTGGGTACCACTGAGGGCCCAAGCACACAAGACACAGCACCACCCGTGCCGTTCAGACCAGAGGCGTGCGGGAACCGAGGCAACCCCATTCGCGTTGAGTGGGAAGGTCAGGAGGCTGACATGACAGATGGGTTCGGGTTGTGTTCTCCCTCGCGATGGAGGCCGATGGATCGGGGGCATCGCCTTGGCCCAGCGGCTACTGCACATGCACAATCCATGTACCGGATGCTTACGAGCTTCATCGCCGAGCATGTACCTGATCCCCGGCGCTTCTGCTTCAGCCTACTTTCAGGAAAGATCGAATCCTCTCCATTCGCTGGGGAGAAGTTGGAAGCCCTGCGTAAACAGTGGGCCAAGGTGCTGGGTGCAGAAGACAGTCCCGACGTGCTGGAGATCCCGGATGCGCAGCCCTTCTTGCTCAGGACCTTGTCACTTTCGGCCGAAAGACTCGAGGATCCAGACTGGGAGATTTTAACGGAGGGAGTTGACTGTTTCTGTACCGGGGTTCCCTTAGGTCTTAATTGCGACATACCACACTTGCCGCAGGTGTATGAAAGGAAGTGCCAGTGGCGTAAACTTGATGAGTCAGAGTTGGATTTTGACCGGGAAAATTATAAGAGTGCCGAGTTGAGCTCCGCCGGGCTCCTCGAAAAGTTTCGTGCAGAGGAAAAACTTGGACGGATGAAACCGACAACGCTCGGAGCCTTGCGCGAGGAGTACAGTGATGACATGATCCGCGTGGCCTCAATGGGGGCAATCCTCAAACCCGATGGCAGTGTGCGGCCATTACATGATGGAACGCGCGGTGTCAATGTCAACAACCAGATACGCTTGGTGAATCAGTTAGCGGTTCCAGGTCCGGCAGAAATGTCATTTTCAGTTCGGCAATCAGGTGCTATGCAAGAGACTCCCTTGGCCGCAACCGCGGACGTGAGTGCTGCACACAGGTTGGTCTTGCATCGGAAGAGTGACTGGGCCTTGATGTCATGCAGGGCAGAGCAAGGGTCTGACACGATTTGGATCAATAAGGTAGGAACGTTTGGGCTTAGCCCAGCTTCCTTTTGGTGGAGCAGGTTGTATGGAATCATAGGCAGAGTGGTCACCCGTTGCCTACTGCAGCACGCCTTTTACCACTTCGCTTATGTGGATGATGTGCATCCCACTTTCTACGGGAAGCGGATGTACATCAACTTCTTGGTTTGGCTGATCCTTCAAGAAATGATAGGGGTGCCCTTCGCTTACCATAAGTTTAAGGGGAAAACGCTTGTCGCTTTCATAGGATACGAGCTTGACTATGGCGCCAGACTGGTGGGACTTAGCGAAGCCCGAGGTGCCTGGGTGTGCAACTGGGTCGATGAGGCACGGAAGGCGCGCTTCGTCGTCTCTGTCAGGAAGTTTGCAGAGTTTCTCGGGAGACTTGGGTTCGTGTCTAGGGTTGTGTACTGGATCAAACCACATTTGGCCCCCTTGTATGCTTGGTCAGCTGCGGCTTCGAAGAGCCATGTTGCAAAAATGCCGGACACGGTTATTCTGACTTTGCTCTACTTGGAGGCAACGCTTAAAGACATCAACTTCAAGGTCACACCGGGCCGACAACAGGAAGAGAAAGGGCATCTCTTTCACACGGACGCGAAATGCGATGATGGTTATGTTGTCCTAGGAGGTTGGGACTCTAGCCAGGACCTTTCGGTCGCGTCTTGGTTCTCCATAGTGGTGAAGCCTGCGGATGCTCCGTACCTTTTCGACGCAGCGGGAAAATCACAATGGGCGTCAGCATCAGCCGAACTTTTAGCAACATTAGCTGCTTTGTGGTTCTTCGGACACCTTAAAGAGAGTAGTTCGCAGAGGCGACTCCCCGTCGCCATTGCCGGGGCCACTGACAATCAGAGTAACGAGAAGCTTCTTAAGAAACAGTCCACTACCAAGTGGCCGCTCATGCTCATCAACATGCAGCTCTCACATCTCCTAAGAAAGGCTTGTCTGAGGCTCAGCTTGACTTGGAAACCACGTGACGAAAATAAGTTGGCAGATGCTCTGACAAATCAGGATTTCAGCTCTTTCAGTTCCGAACACCGTTTGGATGTCAGTTTCAGCGAGCTACCGCTTGAGCTCTTGAATCAGTTGTGGTTGTCGAAGTCCGACTTCGATGCGTCTCGTAAGGCGCTGCAGTCTGCAAGTAATTTTCTGCCTCATGTCCCGAAGAGGAAGCGCGAAGGCACACCCTGGTGACTCAGGGAGAGGGGGCGAGGCTACGCACACCAGATGTGCCTGCCTTCCCTCCGACGAGGGGACGTTCACCACCATCCGAGAAAAAGAGTCTTCGTCCGAGTGCTTGAAGGATTGAATTTATATTTCCTTTATACTTATGACTCTGACGTGCATATATTCATCCAAGTTTGAAGGAACGATTTTAGTAGAAGGTTTAGCGTTCGGCTCAAACCTCAAAACAAGAAGGGGAAAACAGTGGAAAAGGTTACGGCTTTGACAGCAAAGGCAAAGGTAAAGGTAAAGGTTTCGGAGGTTTTGGCAAAGGCAGAGGTCGAGGCAACTGGAAAGGCCGAGGTAGAGGTTTCAGAGGTTACAAAGGAAAAGGCAAAGGTCGAGGAAGAGGTTTCTTCAGACACAAAGGAAAAGGTAAAGGCAAAGCCCAAGCAGCTACAGGAGTGTGTCACTACTGTCATAAGTATGGACATTTCGAAGCACAGTGCAGACAGAAGATGCGTGACATGGGTTACCAGGCCAGGAACGTTGACCTTGAAAACCAGAGCGAGCAAGCAAGCACTACAGGTACTTCAACTCAGGCCCCTTCGTCAGCCAACAAGACCTCAACAAGCCAAAGCCAAGCAAGCCAAGGAACCCAAAGACCAGTGATTAGGATGGTCTCCATGTACCACATGGGAGACGAGCCCACAAGCTTTCCGGAGGAATTCGAGCTGAGTGAGAACTCTGAAGAGATAGAGATTGAGTACTTCGGAAGAGTTTTGCGGGTTGTTGGTGAAGAAGTTCAGGAAGAGAGGAGTGAGACAGAAGAGTTTTGGATTGGTGATGAAGATGATGAGTTTCAGGACTGTGATGAGGTGAGTGATGATGATGGTTGCAATGGCATCTAGAAGGAACTCCGATAGGAACTCAGGATCGTGGATACTACTTTGAGTGTCCCAATGGATGTCATGAAACACCGTGGCACCCAAACATGCAGGAATGTGAGAACGGATGTCACCATCCTCCTAGAAGGAACAGAGTAGAGAGAACAGCACCCTCAAGGACCATCACCAGGTTTGCGCGTGCAGCAAGGAACGCGAGAAGTCGAGAGATCGAGGTCGTGCTGGATTCAGGAGCCGACATTTCGTTGGCACCGATGTGGATGAAGAAATATGGGAGAAAGGCACCCAACACTACCAAGGTAGTTTTGCGAGATGCACAAGGATCTCGGATTAAGGTTTCAGACCAAAGGATCATTGAGGTTGAGTTTCGAGATGTTCAAGGAAACATTGTGAAGGTTGAAGAAGTGTTCTTGATTTCATCGGTTGTGCACCCTCTTTTGGCAGTAGGTAAACTGTTGAAGAAAGGCTGGGAGTTCAGAGATGGAACAGCAACAGGCACTTTCCTAACAGAAGGAACAACCAAGATCGCAGTGAACTACAACAACAACTCACTTACAACAAAAGCCTTTGTGAGAGCAGTCAACTGGGAAGCAGAAGCAAAACCTATCCCTATGTACTTGTGCGAGAACTTGAAGGAACTCATTGAAGAACAGCGTGTTGGTTGGACCAACTGGCGAGACCCTTACCAAGTCCACTTCAGCCTAGGAACCTCAGAACACGTTGATACTTACTTGATGTTTCCACCAGGAAAGTTCGCATATCGAGCAGTGCTTATTGAGGATGATGATCAGTGGTATTTGTTGCATCACAGCATCATGTTTGAGGAACTTGAGGAACCGTTTGGAACAATCTTCGATGGCAGTAAGGAGTACCGCACGCTTACGCTAGTATCGCTCAAGGAATTTCCGCTGAACCTCATAGGCACCCCCAAGGAAGATGAGGATCGAAAGATGTTTGAAGAGTACACTGAGGATGCATGGTCAATCAGCATGGATGGCACTACACTCACGAGGTACCATAACTCGTTGAGGAAGACTTTGTTCAATCCTCGAGATACCAATGACATTCCAGTAGACATTGGAAACCTCAAGCCAGACAGGTACACGTATGGAGAAGAACCGATCAATAAGGATTTCTTTGAGGATGACAAGTTCTGGACTTTGGATGAGCCTCACAGAGACCCAGAACCACTAGGAGGTTTATCCTGGACAGGACGGAGTGTATTCGAACTCATTGAACCAGTGAACCCCAAGGCCAGAAGACCAAAACAGAAGGTTCACCAACTGGACACGATCCCAGAACAGGAAGAAGAACAGGAAGAGACCTCAGAGGCCCAAGCACCAGCACACAGGCATGAACTTGCAGGAGAATTGTCTTTTACATTCAACGGTCATGAGTACAACCAGCAGAACAGCCTCAAGGCCCTGAGAGAGTTGTGCAAGGAACTAGGAGTCTCAAAAGCTGGCTCTAAGCAAGAGATTCTCAGAAGGCTCAGTAGATCCATTATGGAAGCAGAAAGGCATATGGAACTTGTTTCAGGCCAGAAGAAGTACAAAGAGTTTCTAGAAGCTGAACCTCTGAAGGTACCCAAACAGCCAAAGCCGGAGGAAGTTGCAGTGCATAATCTCACACACTTACCTTATGCATCGTGGTGTCCGACGTGTGTAGCATGCAAAGGAAAAGAGTCTCCACACCTTCGTGAGAACCCAGAGAAGGAAAGATCTTCAAGACCAACTTTCTGTATGGACTTCTGTTTTACAGGAACAAGTCATGATGAGGCACCAGCGGCAGTAAGTCTTGTGTGTGTTGATTCTTGGAGTAGGAACATGGTCTGTATCCCGACAGCATCTAAAGGAAAAGATCTTGTAGAGCACCTTTGCGAAGGAGTGACCTACTTGAGTACTCAGCTTGGATATGGAACCATCAACTTGAAGGCAGACAACGAAGGAACAATGATGAAGCTGAAGCAGGTCATCCAGAAGCAGCGAGCAGCTTTAGGTCTAGGAACAGTCTTGCAGGATGCAGTCAGTGGCCAGAAGGAAACCAACGGCATGGCAGAGAGAGCAATCCAGACCATTAGGAGACAAGGAACAACCCTGATTAGGCACCTTGAACACAGAACAGGAACATATATTGCTCATACTCATCCAATCTTCAGTTGGGCTTTCAGGCACTCGGCATGGACCTTGAACAGGTACCATCGCCATTCCTCCACAGGAATGACTCCGTATGAATTTATGGCAGGAAGGCCTTATGAGGGCCAACTCGCCGAATTTGGCGAATCACTTTTGGTTTTGACCAATCGTTCAGGAACACGTGGCAATAGGAAAGGTGACCCTATTTGGTTGAGAGGAGTGTTTTTAGGAAAAACAGACAACAACCTCTTCATTACATGGCACATGGACGGCATCAAGACAAGCCGTAGCGCAAAACGTTGCTTGGAACACTTCGACGTGAAAGGAATAAGTAGCGTAGGAATTCACACTTGGGAAGTGAAGCACACTACACTGGCAACAAGAAACATTCCCAGGAAGAACATTCCAGGACCAATTGCAGAGGCGCCACCTGTCATGGATGGAGCAACTCAGGAACAGTCGGTCGAGGACTCGGCACCTTCCGCACCTTCAGGACCGATCGCAGGACCGATTGTCATCCAAGGCGGGGACTCTGCAGGGAAGTCAGGACCTACTAGGACAACCTACCTAGAGAGCAAAGCGAAGCAGGCACAGAGCAAGAGAAAAGCAGAAGAAGAACTTGAGCAGGAATACGACCAAAACAAACACGACGAAGCAGCTTCAGACCCAACGTCTTCTAGTAGCAGCAGTAAGGAAATGGACGCAGCCTCAGAAGAAGAACTCATCCCAGACAGCGCAATGGCAAGTGAGCTTCTTTCAGCTAGAGGACCAGCACCTCTTAGGAAAATGGAATTTGACGATGTAGGAACAGGTTCCAAGATCCCGAAGATTGATTCTCCGAAGAAGAAGTACCCTCCGTTCAACGTAGGAAGAGTATTTGAGCACAATGATGAAGAACTACCTGAAGCAGAACCAGGTACAGAGGACATTTTCTGGGAAGATTCATATTCGGACATTGGCGATTCCGATGAGGAACAAGACATCTTCAAGAGCGAAGATTCTGGACCTCCAGAAGTTGCAGAAGCCCAGTTGCAGGAACTGGATCGTGAGGCGATGCTCACAGAAATCAACAGACTCACCGAGATGAAGGCACTGGCAAGGAAACCCTTGCAAGAACTCGAGAGAGAAGAGGAGAGAGAGACAGAAGAAGAAGAGAGCAACCAAGGAACAAAGTGGTTGACGACGAAATTCGTCTTCGATTGGCGATTCAGGAACGGCCGATGGATGCGGAGAGCTAGGTTAGTAGCGAGAGAGTTCAAAGGAGCAGAAGTAAGGAACGACACGTTTAGCCCAGCTACGAGCGCATCGTTGGTGAGACTTATCCCTATCTTGGGATTACAACAGGAACATTCCCTGTACTCCATTGATGTCAAGGACGCATTCTTGCAGGTCCCACAAAGGATTCGATGTGCATGTCAATTCCCGAAGGAATATGTGGATCTGTTTGGCGACCAGGACCCCAGTTGTAGGAACGAAGGTTTGTTACTGCTGAGAGTACTTCCAGGACAGCGAGATGCAGCACTACTATGGAGCGATCATTTTGCAGGAACCCTCAAAGAGCAGAACTTTGATAGGAGCAAAGCTTGCCCTACTTTGTTTCGTGACGACAGGAACAGCATACTTGTTGTGCATGTAGATGACATTCAGGCAGCAGGGAAAACAAGGCACCTAGAGCCCAAGCTAGGAAAGCTAGGAGAAACCTACGAGCTAAAGGTTGAAGGCCCCTTCTTGACAGAGCAGGAACTTGAGGTAGGAGAGTCACACCAGACAATCCGATTCCTTAAAAGGAAATTCAGCTACCACAATCACGAGCTCCACATCACGAGTGACCCGAAGTATCTTGTGAAGCTTAAGGAAGAACTGAAGCTTACCAGCAAAGCCTCGAAGCCAACTCCGTGCACCCAAGAGT